AGGTCTACTCGGGAGCGTAAATGCGTTAGCAAACCATGGTGGAGATGAAAGATAAAGTTACACCATTAGACTAGTCAGCGCTGACTATGCATGTAGTCAAATGGTCAGCCTTCATTGAATAAAAGATACACTCTCGGCTCGTAGCCAATCCCAGTGGATCTGATAGGGTGTAGTGATCTCCGGGGACGGACCCCTCGCCACTAGATGCTGCTATTAGCCGATAATGGTGCCTTGAAAGCGATCCACTGGGATTCGAACCCGTGCGTGAATCCTTTATTGGATAAAGGCTGACCATTTGACTACGTGCAAAGTCATCGATGACTGTGCACNGCAAACGCTGACCATTTGACTACATGCACAGTCATCATTCGACCCAATGGAACTGGCTACGAGCCGAGAGTGTATATTTTATTGGATAAAGGCTGGCCATTTGACTACGTTAACATGCAAAGTCATCGATGTAGTCAAATGGTCAGCCTTTATCCAATAAAGGATTCACACACGGGTTCGAATCCCAGTGGATCGCTTTCAAGGCACCATTATCGGCTAATGGCATAGCATTTTGTGACGAGGGGTCCGGCCCCGGAGATCACTACACTCTATCAGATCCACTGGGATTGGTTACGAGCCGAGAGTGTATATTTTATTCGATGAAGGCTGACCATTTGATCACATTCATAGTCAACGCTGACTAGTCTAATGGTTTAACATATGGCAGAAAAGGATTTCACGCACAGGTTCAAAACCCAACCGGTCACTTTCCCAAGCACCATTAAGTTCTTTCCAGGCAGCGTTTGGCGAGAGGTCCGGCCCCGAAGATCTCTACTCACGAACCCAAAAATAAATGTGGTCCAGCCGGGTGCAAATGAGCTCTGAGCAAATCTTTTGTAAGATAAAGTTCCACCATTAGACTAGTCATCGATGACATGCATGTAGTCAAATGGTCAGCTTTTATCGAATAGAGCGTACATGAGAAGCTGGACGTTGGTGTACGCTCCATCCCGGCGTGTGAGTAGGATCTTAGGCTATGCAAGTCGTCCCTGACCTTATTGTCGTGAAATTGACCTCCCAGGAGGAAAGTAGCCTGTATCGCGGGATTTCGGAGATGATAAATTGGATGGTCGAGGGACGTCTGGGTGTTTACTAAGCAGAGCGCCCGGCACAAGACTGGGGTACTTGTGTCAGGAGGTGTGAACTTGGATCTAGACTACGAGCCTAATAGTTATGTTGGAGGCGCTGTTTAGCGTCGGTGAGCCGGCAAAAGAACTGAAAGGAACCACAACCCCCCCCGCCGGACACTCGGATTGGGAAGGCCGAGTATTCCGTATACCTTCCTGAAAAAACACGAAAAACAAGTGGCCACGGTCCAGTTGCCGTAGAGATCATGAGGATGGTGAAGAAGCT